TTCTCCTTCTCCTTCTCCTTCTCCTTCTCCTTCTCCTCCCTCCTCCTCCTCTTCCAAGAAACCCTTACTCTTTTACCCACAATTGATGCTGTAAGAGCAATTAAAGATTTTTATCCTAAATCTGCTTAGTCATCATTTAGCCCTCCTCCTCCTCATCCTCCTCCTCCTCCCTCCTCCTTCTCCTTCTCCTTCTTCTTCTTTTCTCAAAACATGGCTTTTATTGCATCTTTAAAATGTCGCAAATAAGTCCGAGAAATCAGTCAGCATCTCGCAGTTTCTGTAGCTGGACAACTTAGATCTTGTTCATCAGCCTGCTAAATGGTTCCTTTTTCAGAAACATAGATCCATCCAAATTTTTTTCTGACAGCCTCGTTGTTAAACTGTTGTGGCTTGCTGAATCAAAGCAGGTGAATTTGATACAAGTTCAGTGTCGTTTCCTTCAAGAATCAATTCATATTTCTGGGCTTGAGACACCAAACCCTGCGGATGTCTTTTTCGCCCAAGAAATTCCTGATTTCAACAAGAGAACCATTCTCCTGAACAGCGGCAGGTGGGGACGTGAGCGCACACAGACCTCGCCCTGTAGCGGCCGCCAGTGGAGCACCCGGCCCTGTTCTGTACGGACTGCAGAGAGTGCGAATCATGGCCAGTTCCTTCCCATTTCCCCACCATTTGTCAACCCGGAGTCTCTTCTTTTCCTTTCCAAGGAGAATGAGTTCTACATTGATGTGGTTGAAGTCCCTCCGCAGGGCGCCGCTGGGGCCCTTTACAGTGACTGTGCATAGAGTGATGCCAACATTGTCTGGAACGTCGACAGTCTGACTGCTGAGCATGGTCTTCATCCTTGCCGTAAATGCAGCAAAGAGCTCTTTCTCTCTCTTCCTATGAGCCCTCCGAATTACTGAGATGATGGATGGATGGGTGGATGGATGGATGGATGGATGGATGGAAGAATGGATGGATGGATGGATGGATGGAAGAATGGATGGATGGATGGATGGATGGAAGAATGGATGGATGGATGGATGGATGGAAGAATGGATGGATGGATGGATGGATGGAAGAATGGATGGATGGATGGATGGATGGAAGAATGGATGGATGGATGGATGGATGGAAGAATGGATGGATGGATGGATGGATGGAAGAATGGATGGATGGATGGATGGATGGAAGAATGGATGGATGGATGGATGGATGGAAGAATGGATGGATGGATGGATGGATGGAAGAATGGATGGATGGATGGATGGATGGAAGAATGGATGGATGGATGGATATGAACGGAAGAGTGGGTGAGGGGATGGGCAGAATGTAGGTAGATGGATAGATGGTAGATGGGTGGTCCCTCCTGATTTGAGCCCTGCGCATCTTTTTAGCCTCAACTCTTGCTATTTTTCCTCTATGCAGTAGCTAAATTCTTAAATGTACCTTATTCTCTTCCCTCTGAGATTTTGTATCTGCTGTTTCCTCTCCTAGACCATTTAAGTAGGGGGTTAGGAGATGCAGGGATGGATGGATAGATGGGTAGACAGGTGGCTGGGTTGGTTGGCTATGGGTGAGTAGATGGGTAGATGGTCAGTAAATGGGTAGATGATGGGGGTTATGTTATAGAGGATGGGACTGTAGACCTAGGCGTCAGGCTCTTTGAGCTTGAATCCTGGAATTACTATTTTGCTGGTTGTGTAAACTTGGGCAAGTAATTGACTCTCTCTACTTCTGTTTGTTCATGTGTGAAATGAATGGACTAAAGGTCCCTATCAAGAGAGTTGGACAAAGCACTTAGGACAGTGTCTGCACAGAATCAGCACACAATAACTAGCAGCTATCAGCATGTGTGAGTAATTGGATTGATGGAGGATTGTTGAATGGGCTGCCCTGTCCCCATCTTCAAACACCAGACCCCCCTCCTCCCTTGAGTACCATCTTCCCAACACCAGACTTGGTGGGCACCTCCCAGGAATGTGTCAGAAATCCCACATGTAGAAAGGCCTGGGCTTCTTCCTGGGATGAGGGGGTCGGGTGGGGAGAGGACTGAGGGGAGGGAAACAGAGCAGCTGGTGACTTCCTGCCCGCTGACACCCGGGCTTGGGCGGGGTCCAGGACTTGTTTCCTTCCTGGCACCGTGTCAGCCCTGACTATTGGTCAGTGGGTGGACCCCGGGGCCCAGAGGCAGATTGGAAGTTGGGGTGTTGATGGCTTGTGCACTGTGCTCAGATCTCACACCCTGATGGTAATGGCCCCTAATTTCTGAGGAGGCTGGGAGGGAGGAGGGAGGAGGAGAAGCAGCAAGCAGGGCTTGCCTCTGATGAGGATCTCCAAGGCTCCGGGGTGGTAATATCTTGTTTGGGAGAGGGAGGGAAGGTAGGAGCATGGCATTCTTGGTGGAGTGGCCAGCAGGTCTGGCTCTGGGGAAAGTGGCTTGGGTCCCAGCCCAGCAGCCGTCGGAAAGGAACCCAGGAGGCTGGAGGGGGTGGAGAGGGTTTGGGGGAGCAGGGCACCGTGACTCAGCACACACCCCCCTCTGTCTCAGCCCAGGCGGGGTTGAGTGTTGGGCTGGTTGCTAGGAGTCCCAGGTGACCTGAGCTAAGTCCCATCCATCCCTGGGCCTGTTCCTTATGTGCACAGAGAGGGTGCTGGGTCCCTCCATTTTGGTCATTTGAAGAAGGGGAAGTGAACCACTTTCTGAGGACCTCAGACAGGGACCCACCCGACTGACCATAGGAGTGGGCCCTGCCAGGACTGTCCCCATCCCAGGCCATGTCACCCTTCCCGTGGGAACTTCAACAAGGGACAGTGGCTTGGGAGACCCCGTTAGGAAGGCCTGGCTAGCCCAGCTCTATCAGTCTTATTTCAGTTGTAAGTCACGCTGCCTGGGTTTAAATCCCAGACCTTCCCTTCTGAGTGACTTTCACAAGTCAGTAAACTCTCTGTGCCTGAATTCCTAATCTACAAAGTGAGGCTGATAAGAGAATTTACCTGGAATGCTTGTTGCGAGCAGTGCCTGCCTGGTGCAGGCTAAGTGCCACGCGTCATATTGTTGTTATTTCCCAACTTTGAAAGACACGGATTCAGTCCTGCCTCCCGAAGCCCATTCCTCTGACTTCTCCGCCACACTCCTGGCACGGCCTCATTTTACTGACAAAGTTCCAGGAAGGAAGAACTGTGATCTGTACCCACTCAGGGCTGGCTTGGCTCACAGGAGGATCCACTGACCACCCCCACACCGTCCCCCACACACAGCCTCCATCCCTCCTGCCTTTCTGCTGTTGAGGTTCAGGCAGGCGGTTTTAAGTGTCTTGGTCTAAGCAGGCCTGGTTACTTGAATATTCTCTCCACCCCTCCTTACCTGCTGTGTGATTTGGACAAATTACTTAACCTCTCTGATCCTTACTTATTTTTCCTTTGTTGGACCTCGAGTACAGGAGGCCGAGTTATCCACACATCTCGCGTCATGGTGCATTACCATCCCTGGCCTCCTCTCTCATTGTCTTAATTTCCCTCCTTAATCTCCAGTTTCCAACTACACTCCCCACCCACCCCAGCCAGAGGCAACCATTCTCAGGTGCTTAATGAGTATCTTCTTGTTTATATGTGTTCTTGCAAAGTATATATATTGTTCTTTTGTATGTATGTTGTTTTGATTTACATAAGTGCCATGTGTGTTTTAGATCTCATTCTGTTTACTTTGATGGCTCCCTAATGTTTTTAAGATTCATCTGTGTTGCTATATGAACATCTAGTTCCTTGCTTCCAATTACTGTGTAGTTCACCCACTGTGTTCGCCACATTTTATATCTTACTCCCCCGGGTGCTTCCAACTCCTCACCCCCACAAACAGCATGGCAATGACATCACATCCATGTCAGCTATGGGAGAAGGCATATTCCCGAGAGCCAAACTGATTGGCTATAGAGTATGAGTAAACATCATTTGGGGTCTTCTTTTCTCCATCCATAAAATGGGTGTGTTGCCCCCACCCTTGCAGGGCTGACTTGATGGTAGTGGGTTAAGGCGTGCAATCCACTCGGCCTTGTGTCTGACACAGAAAGATGCTCAGTGAATGGTAGATGTGGCTGCTTTTCTTCTCAGGAGAGAGAGAGAAATAAGTCGGACCCAGGACGAGTTGCGTAGAAATTGCTCCCAAGGCTCGAAGTCCCAGTTCAAGAGTTGGTCTCCAAAATATGTGAGAAGTGTATGGGGTAGTGCAGATCCCCCGAGGGTAAGGACTGATCTTTTTCTTTTTTTTTAAAGAAAATTTGTTATCTTTATTTTTTTAAATTTATTTTATTGATTTTTTTTTAATATATTTTATTGATTTTTTACAGAGAGGAAGGGAGAGAGATAGAGAGCTAGAAACATCGATGAGAGAGAAACATCGATCAGCTGCCTCCTGCACACCCCCTACTGGGGATGTGCCCACAACCAAGGTACATGCCCTTGACCGGAATCGAACCTGGGACCTTTCAGTCCGCAGGCCGACGCTCTATCCACTGAGCCAAACCGGCTAGGGCTGATCTTATTTTTTGTTAATCCTCGTCTGAGGATATTTTTTCCATTGATTTTTAGAGAGAGTGAAAGGGAGGGGTAGAGAGAGAGAAACATTAATGTGAGAGAGAGACATCCATTGGTTGCCTCCCACATGCACCCCAACTGGGGACTGAGCCTGCAACCGAGGTACGTGCCCATGACCGGAATCGAACCCATGACCCTTCAGTCTTTGGGCCGACACTCTAACCACTGAGCAACCGGCGAGGCCAAGGACTGATCTTGAAGTTAAAAGCTCCCACAGCCCGAGCGCAGGGCCTGCTTCAGAGGAGATGGCTGGGCCCAGAAAATGCTTAAAGCATCCCATCTCTCACTTTTTCCTCAGAGCCGGAAGTAGCCCTCACACAGGAGGTGCAGGCATTTGTTGTTCTGCCTCTGCTCTGCCAGCCAACTAGCTGTTTAGCCAGATGTGAAACTGCAACTGAATGCTGGATCCCACCGTCCCACTTTACAGATGGGAAGACCGAGGCTCAGGGAGGCTCGGTGGTCTCACAGCGAGTAGCAGAAGTGGCACTAACGTCCGCATCTCCAGGTCCCCCCTCCAGTGCTCTTTAAAAAAAAGAAAGAAAATCACCCTAGTTGGTTTGGCTCAGTGGATAGAGCATCAGCCTGCGGACTGAAGGGTCCCGGGTTTGATTCCAGTCAAGGGCATATGCCTGGGATGCGAGCTCAATCCCCAGGGTGGGGTGTGCAGGAAGCTGCCAATCAATGATTCTCTCTCATCATGGATGCTTCTATCTCTCTCTCCCTGTCCCTTCCTCTCTGAAATCAATAAAAATATAGTAAAAGAAACACTAAGAAAATGCACTCCAGGTTAAACTGTGCTCTTTATTATTTGTGGAGGTTAAGTTCAAACAAAGGCTCTCCCAACAGAGCAGATCACTCGAAAGGAAAGCCCACAAGGAGTGCTGGCTTTCCCAGTCTGTTTCCTTCCCATCCCTGGCCACACACAGATACACTTTAAATATGTACCGTTGTGATCTGCAGAGAATTTTGGGTTTTGTACTTACCAATCCCTTCTTTTTTACCAAACATACACATTACTTCAGATGGTAGAATGCGTTTTATAATGGGATGTTTTTGCATGGCCTTCAAGGTGACCTTGTAGACACCTGCCCCATCCTGTCTCCTGGGGCCCTGTTGACTTTTCCCTCAACAGCAGTCGCCAATCGGTGGTCCTAGGACAACTGGGGGTCCATGAGGTCCGAGAGGCTGGCGACCGCTGCCCCTGAGGATCTTTGCTGAACGGGCACTGCTCTCTTACAGCCCCTCAGGGCCTCTGTTCCGTCTCTGTGTTCTCTGCTCAGCATCTCCGTGCCCAAAGTCAGGGTAGGGAAGCGGGACAGGAACACGCAGGCGCTGAGTTGGGCTGGGTCCTTGAACCCACTATCTCGCTGAGTCTGGTAACCTTACATTAACAGCCCTGTTTTACAGATGAACAAACTGAGGCTCAGAGAGGTGGTAACTCAGCCCAAGTCACAGCCCCGTGAGCAGCCTCCTCAGAACTGAAACCTATTCCCCAGCAGGGACCTTCCCCACCATGTCCTGGGCCAGCAACAGAGTCCATGGTTACAGAGTCCATGGTCTCTCCCTAGCACCCCTGAACACACCCTCCCCACCCAGGGCTGGACCTTGGGTCCCACACTCTCAGGCACCAGGTCATGACCTCTCCGAGCCCCTTCTCAGGTTGTTGGGGTTCACACCAGCCAGATTTCCCCTGAGCCTGCCCAGCTCAGATGAATGCCAGGCAGGGGGTTGGAGCCCACAGTCTGCAGCCAAAGGAAGCAGTCCCCGGCGCTGGCCTGGCACCAGGTGTCATCGGCCTGGAATAAGGGGCTGGACCAGACGACCTGCAGCTCAGTATGGTCTGGGCATTAGGATGACCACAGGTCTGACCTTGGCCCATGGAGATCTGGTTGCAGGGACCTGGGAGGACGATGAAGGTGACTCTTAGGACTTCTCAGCCTGCCCTGCTCCGAGTCAGAGGGCACCCTCCCAGCCAGGAGCACTTGGCTTTGGTGGAGGAAAGACCACAGAGGCCTGAGTCTCTGCAGAGACTGCAACTTCCGGGCCCCAATCCCACCCCACATTCCAGAACTTACTACGCAATTGCCCAGCAGAGATTTAATTACAGGACTGGGCTTTGGGCTGTTTCGAGGAGAGCCTATTATTTGGCTGTTTCTTTACTGGGGGAGCAGGAGTGAGGTGTTGTTATTAGATGAAGTGGGGACCAAGCAGCAACAGTACAGGGTGCTGAGCTGGACAGACAATTGGGCCCCAGCCAGGTCTCAGGGAACTCGGCCTCGAAAGCTGGCAGGCTGACAGGTGAAACTGCAACTGTGGGCGGCACTGCTCGCTGCGGAACCCGGGCGTCTAGAGACTCCCCTGGGCCCCCACCAACAGGGGATGACACTGGGGTGTAATGGGTGTGTAGGGGCAGGGAGAGCAGCCTCAAGCCCTTCTGGTGTTCACGCATCACCCTGCTTTCCCCTTTGCCTCCAAAAGTGAGGGGACCACAAGTGCGGAGAAATGAACCACCCCTAAGGAGTGCCCTGACCCGGACACTTCACATCCATCATCTTATTTAACCTTCATAACAAGTGTCTAGGGGGGACTGCTACCGCTCCATGCACAGCTGAGAAAACTGCTCAGAATTGGGTTTGTTTGATTGATTGATTTCTCCTATATGCAAGCTGTTTACCTTCCTTTCTTCCTAAGAAATGTCCTACAGACAACTCTACTCTTTCTGTTTCTGCCACCAGCACACACGTGAGGCCCCATCCCCTCCTGCTTGTATCAATTAACCACCTGGTTATCCAGTTCACTAATGAATTAAGCCCCCTCCCTTCGCCCCTGAGCCTACACTTTTGCCTTCCCATCCATCCTTCATCCAGATGTTAGATGAACATCCTTAAAACACAGCTGTTACCAGTCACCCTTGCCTGCACGGTCAGCAGTGCCTGCTCCTGGCAGCCAGGGCTTCTCAAACCTTAACATGCTCCTGAATCACGTGGGGATCCTGTTCAAACAAAGATGCTCTCCTGGGCCCCATAATCCGTCAGCTCACTGAGACTCATAATGACCTTAAATTAATAGCCTGTTTTACAGGTGAACAGACTGAGGCCCAAACAGGTTGCTCAGTGTCTGGCACGGGGCCAGCGTGATGCAAATGCTGCTGGTTCATGGACTACATCTCTAGGCTAAACTCTTCTGCCTAGTTATTCTTCTTTAATTTTTGAATAGGAAATATTTATATGGTTGGAAATTTAAAAACGTATAAAGGTCCTCAGTGAAAATTCTCCTTCCCATTCCTATTCCCCCCAACCCTTGCCCAGTTCTCCCTACCTCCACCCTCCCCCCCCCCCAACACTTTTATTCATTTGTTATGGATCTGTCCAAAGTTTCTCTCTGAACAGATCTTATCCTGCCCCAAATGGTAGCATACTACACACACCGTTTTGTCAACAGCCTATCAGTTTATCTTGAAGATAACTGGACACGGTTGACTGACTCATTCATTTTTAGAGTTGCATTATTATTCCATTGTGTGGATGTACTATAATTTATTTAATCAGTCATCTCCAGGTGGAGTTGTTTCTGGCCTTCCCAGCTGGCCTTTTTAAGTCTTCCACACTCTGGCCAACCTTGCTGTGACCCACTTTTATTCATTTGTTATGGATCTGTCCAAAGTTTCTCTCTGAACAGATCTTATCCTGCCCCAAATGGTAGCATACTACACACACCGTTTTGTCAACAGCCTATCAGTTTATCTTGAAGATAACTGGACACGGTTGACTGACTCATTCATTTTTAGAGTTGCATTATTATTCCATTGTGTGGATGTACTATAATTTATTTAATCAGTCATCTCCAGGTGGAGTTGTTTCTGGCCTTCCCAGCTGGCCTTTTTAAGTCTTCCACACTCTGGCCAACCTTGCTGTGACCTCCATTCTGTCCCTTAATTCCCAGCCCCACCATCCTGAGCCCCCGCAGAGGCCTTCACACCTCCTCAGCCCTCCAGCCCACCCTGGCTGCTCCTCCTCTGAATCACAACCCACTGTGAGTCTTCTCCTCATTTACCGCCCCACTCTTCATCTCTCCAAACAGATGAAAGCAACTTGAACTCAGGAACCATCCCTTTGATTTCTCTGGGTCCTTCACAGCCCAGAGCTGGGCACACGGCAGTTCTGAAGAATGTAGTTACCTAGTGGAAGTTGCATACGAATGGAGCCACTCGATGAGGGCTCTGCTGGGGCTGGTTCTGGGTGCCAGAGCCAGGAGCTAGCTACCCAGGTGAGAGGACCTCAGACCTCAGAGGCCTCCAAGAAAGAAGCCCTTATCTTGTACCTGAAGTCTAGAGCACTGGGGTGGGTTGTGAGGATGTCCAGGGCATGATGGGGCATCTGGGTTCCCTGGAGCCCTTCCTCGGTAGACAGTGGGCGGAACCATGATGTGGAGATAGGAGGGTGGAAGGATGGATGGCATGTGTGTGTGCCCTAGAATGAGCTCCTTCCCTTCTCTATTAACATCCTTGTCATCCTTCACGGGCCAGTTCAAGTCTTCATTCTTCCAAGCAGCCTTCCTGGACTTCTCCAGCTCAAGCTGACCTCCCCTGCTCTAAAATTCCTGCTGTGTGTATTAGTGACAGTATCTGCATTCAGTCACCGTGGCCTGCTCCCTTGAATCATGTAAAACCTTACCTACCGGATGAGACCGCAAGGTGCTCTACAGTACTTCTCAAATAATACTTCTCAAATTCTCTTATATCCTCATGTACCCCAAACCCTCAGCACAGCACCGCGCCTCCACAGATACTCCTTGAAGGAACAGGAATTGGTTCTAGGAATGCCATGGTGGTGGGTGGGTGGGTGAGACGGGGTTGACCACAGGCATGTCTCCAACCAAAAACAGTTGGGGAACACCTCACAGCCACAGTCTCTGAAGGTCCAACTCCTCCTGCCCACTGACACTGGAGCAAGTAGAGGGGCTTTTTAAAAATGAAACTGTTGCCCTAGCCAGTTTGGCTCAGTGGATAGAGTGTCGGCCTGCAGACTGAAGGGTCCCAGGTTTGATTCTGGTCAAGGGTATGTACCTTGGTTGCAGGCTCCTCCCCATTCTGGGCCCCAATCAGGGCTCATGCAGGAAGCAACCAATCAATGTGTTTCTCTCACATGGATATTTCTGTCTTTCCCTCTCTCTTCCACTCTCTCTAAAAATCAATGGAAAAATATCCTCGGGTGAGGATAAAAAAAAAGTCACTGTCATGAAAAATAAAGACATGAGACTGTGCTAGATTAAAAGATTAAAGGATCATGATAAGCAAATGCAGTGTGTGAGTCTTGATTAGACTGTGGATTGAAAAAAAACGAAAATGACATTTTGGGAGATGATAATAGTGTATTGATGTTAAATTTGAGAGTGATGACTGTATTGTGGTCTCTTAGGAGAATATCCTTATTCTTA